TGAGCCATGCGAACGAGATAATCTTGAAAATTAAGAAGTTAAACGGGGCAAAGCCCGCGGGTTACAGCTAGTAGTACTATATAGTCAATGGTTGTATGCAGGACGGTCCTAGAGGGGTTTTGACAATTGCAGCGGAACCGGAAGTGCATTATTACGCGTCGCAGTTACATTGACAAAGTATTATTGGCAGAGACTAACCAACGCATGTTTTATCCATATTGGGAACACATCGCCCTTTCTGACACTACATCATTAATCATTAAATTATTAAAACAATTAAAAAACTACTAACTAACTACTGAATCACAATTAAAATGACAACCTGAAAACCTCCGCTGCAGCAAACCTTCTGTTCTATTACTACTGTACTGAAATATTCCCTAATGCCCTAACAAGTTAGAAGAATTCCCAATAATGTCCTAATTTTTATAGTGTCCTAAAGAGATGCCAACGTTACTGCAAACAATTAACATGCGTTTTATATGGGGAAGACATATTTTTATTTGATACCTCAAAAACTAAAAACGCATACAATTTAAATTGAAAGTTGCTTGAAATTGTATTAACTTTGACACTTTACGCAATTTGATAAATAAGCCTACTATCATTACAATTTTTAACTTTTGACTTTTGATTACCCGTATAACTATGTAAAAATATAATGTTGTATATCAAATTGAAGCTTAGAACATAAGAAATGCTAAATTATAATAATTAGAGTAGGGATATATGCGTTTCAAGACAAATATAGGTTACCTATTCAAAATTCTACCAAATTGTTCACATGAAGAGCCGTCATTTTAAACAAATAAAAATTGTCGAATTCTGATTTCACTAAAATGTTTGTTTTAAGTAGTACTTTAAAGCTATGTAGGATAAAATATAACATAATGTTTGTACTGTATTTGGCAATTCTGAGATTTGAACTAGTGAAACTGCGGTTTTGGTGCATTCTGTACTCGAAAAAACATTTGAAATATTTTAAAGTTATTCGGGTTGGTTTAGTGGGAAACATTCCCATTTCATCAAATTGTGGGACCAACAGTTGGTTTAAAATCAGTGGACACCTTACGTGATTCACCCTGTATATTTCTGAATTTGAACGGATGGTGTTTTGCTTCTTGGGACATAAAAACGAAAAAGTACAGTGGTCCTGGGTCTAGGTCTTACCATGAGACCCACGGTAACAACTTATTCCCAATACGAACAATTTGCTAAAACTAAATATAGTTTAAGTTTCTTTAATTTTACACAAACACAGTTAACTCAAAGCAACACTAACACTCAAGAAACACTAACGCTCAAAGTTAAATGATTTCAGCATTACTTATCTCGGGACAAGTTAAAAGAAACAACTAAAAATTATTTTACTAGTAAAAATATATTTAGGTTAAAACTAGGAAAGATAAAAATGTTATCACGACCCTTCACTTTATTCTAGAATGATTCATTGTTTTGGAAGCATTAAACCAAACAAAAAATTATTGTGTTAGATCCGTCATTCTCTAATTATGTAGTTATACAGTAGTTATAATGAGATAATACCGCCATCGTATAACTGAAGTTGGACGCAATGACAAAATTTTGTAAGTTATTATAATACAGTAGTTCAAACAGTTAATGTTAACCTAACTTTGATTAGGTTATGTTTAACCAATAGTCAAAAGTTAAACCTAATTTAAAGAAGTCGAAAAATAATATTTTGCATCTAAATTATTTATTTTCCTTCTCTTCAGAATTTATTGACCAATCAGTTAACATTTAACCTGATCAATAACCTAAAATCACAATTTAATTGTAATTAGGCCTACTAAAACAAATTATGAACAGGACATAATTTTCAGCATAAATAATCTATATAATTACCGTTTCAACAGTTTTCATATTGATTATGGCAATCGAGTCTCGAATACAAAGTATTGGATAAACATATTAATTTTTGCACCAACCGTAAAATACAGCCTTTTGTAAAAGAAACTTTCCTATAGACTCTAACTTGACCGGAAATACATACTTTTACGCAATTTACTTAATAAATTGCCTTCTTCTTCTCTAAACAAACTCTCTGATTGGCGCAAATTAACCAATCAGGGAAGGCGTCGTTTACTTTGGGAAGGATGCTGAAAACTGGAAACTTAAAATGGCGGACATTCTTTCTAAAAAATTGGTAATAATGATCTTTGTATATTTCTGAAACAAAGCTAAAACTCGTCCCTTACATGAAATCAGTAGTTAAACTACTTCATTAGCCTTCCATTTACATCATATTTTCACAGTCAGATAATAGTTTTACAGCTAAAACCAAACAAAGTAAAATTGCCGGCGTACCTTAGCTCATGTGTAGGTAGATATAAAACTGCTTACTGAAGGTGAATCCATCAGAAATACTCCAAAATAATGAGCACATGACACTTTAAAATATGCTAGCCTATGGTATTTAACATATTTAAGACTTTAAACACTTTTAAAACCAAAACATTTAACACTTAACACACACGACACACTAGAGTGTAACATTCCGACATAAATCTTTCTAAAGAGAAAACTAACACTTTTTACTTCGAATTAATGTAATAAAATGGACACAAGACTTTCCGAACAGTGTGAACTAAATATTAAACACGTTATTAGTACAGAAAGTCACAAAATATTTTACATAAACGCGAAAAACTCGAGTGCAAATACTCGACCGCCGAAAAGTGCGCGAACTGAGGAAATTATTATACCATAGACATCGACAACGGAAAATGCATTAATGCGCACAATTGAACATTCGATGTTACCACTCACAGCACTATATTAAAACTGAATAAATAAGGTATAATATTTAGCGATGATTATTATCGGATCCAGGTGTTATCGCTGGACGGTCTTATCGCAAGTCTGCGAATAATCAAACGTAGAATAAAAGACTACCTCTAGTTGTTCGGTAAAAAGTCTGTTTATCTTTTTACCTCTTTTATTTCTGATAGCGGAATGTCTCTCTCTATTGTTTCTCTCTATTGTCTCTCTCTATCATATCTCTCTATCATCTCTCTCTATTCCGTGGATTCTAAACGCATACATTTATTGTGTACGTTTCCTACACACAATAAACTTCCGCATTTAGATTATAAGATTTTTAGGATTTATTTTAAAGCGAATACACATTTCGAAATAAAATGCATTCTGACGACAGCTTATTATTGAAGAACGTTTGGAAGTAGTAATGTTCTACTAAAGTAATTACAATGCGTGTGTAACTAGAGGAAAGGACAGGACTTTGGGAATCGTGAAGTATTAATTTATAGTTTGAAACACATAAATAACAAATAAAACTCATGAAGTAAAAAGTAAATTAGATGAAAACAATATTAAAAATTCAGTTTTCAGTTTCACTAATCAATATAGAATTTCTTTTAATTCATCTGGATTTAAACAAAATTGAAAATCAACAGAGGATCTTTATATCCATCCTAAAATCACATACCTGATTTACTAAATTAATTTAGAAGAAGTGATGGGGTTGTTCAAATAACATTTTTAGCCCAATTCTCTAATTAATATTCTAATTAGAGTCAATGATGCAATACAAATTTTTGCCCTTAATTGGCGTTATATTATGTTATATTATTTTCTCTTATATTTATATTTGAACAATAGTAAAGCCAAAATAACCATTAATATAAATTATCTTATACCTGTTGTTTTAATGCTAGTTCGGTATTAATTTTTTGTCATTTATCATTTTGCTAGTTTTTATTTGGTTGCCGGTTTTATTATTTGCCTGTTAGATAAAAGAAGGCTATAAAAAGGTTCTAGTTTTTTGTAACTGGTTTAATACACTTTTATTAAAATTTAATCTGGTAAGCTTTCCACCAAGTTGTTCAAGAAAATCGGTTCACTTAAAATTCGAATCTCCCGCTCTTTTGTCAACACTACTGGTATGTCGACGCGAGGGGTTCCACAGCTCCTAATTCCATATAACTTACTGCCCTCCCTAAAACATCGAAAGTATGGGATTAAGTGGCCATGGATTAGGGCCCCAAGGTCGACTCTATGAGGCAAAATATAAAAAATGTCCGTTGTGAGATGTAGTTCTTATGGGAATATTTGTGTGTAGAGTAGACGCTACGGTGCGTAGGTAAAGGCGGCCGTGTTTGGTCACGGCCGCCTCCAACTCCAGGCCACAGCCTTCGAAGTGGCAACGTCGCAAGTGGTGTTGTAACAGCTGTTTGTTTGGAAGCAGCTGGGTATTTACGAAAGATTGTTTACTGGACTCTTACAAAATTTACTCCGCTTAAAATGTACAGTTTTAGATTTTTAATTCATATTGTTTCGGTTTTCAATTCTGTATGTTTTATTTTCAATATTATAATAAATTTTTGTTCATAAATTTAAATTTAAATCAGTAAAGTGGGAATTAATAAGCTGATGTCACATGTCTGCCATGTTATTTAATGGGACGTCTGTTACTAAACAACACCACTTGCGACGTAGCCAATTCTACCAGGCCGTGGTCTGTAGTTAAATTAGGCCGTGCAACATCGCATGTACTAAACTTGTAACAGCTGTTTTGTTTGGAGGTGGCTAATGGTATTTGTGTACATTTTAAGAATACAACAGCTTATAGTTACTGGGCTATGAAAATATTGACTCCAATTTAATGTACAAAAATAGATTTTCAATAATTGATTATTTAAATTATTAAAAAAATTTAAATTAATAATATTAGTAAGATTGTTTTGTTTTCAATTATCTATGTTTGATTTTCAATCTTTTAAAATTGATGTCCATAAATAAAAATTTAAATGAATTATACGCGATTTAATAAGCTGGTATCACCTGTCTGCCATGGTATCGTATGGGACGTCTGGCACTAGACAACACTACTTGCAACGTTGCAAATTAGAACCGGCCGCGGCCTGGAGTTAAAAGTGGCCGTGAGTTAAGTGAAGGTGTTAAAGGTGGCCGTGGTTGGTATACATGTTTTTTTTTGTTTAGATGGAGTTGGAGATAGTGTCATCTTCATCTATCTGTCATCCTTTCTGTAATCCCTGTTCTTTTGCAAATAAATACGTTTTACGTTCAGTTTCAGTAAAAACAGTTAGTTTAACTTAGTACAGTACAGGCTTTCTTGAATAATTATTATTCTTAATAATTGAATTACATTTATTCAATTCTTAGAAAATGGGTTGTGATGGTGGAACCATACCTAAAAGAGATGAATTGGTTAGGATAAAAAAGAAGCCTGAACAGGTTGGTGTTAATTTATTACACAGTACTTAATCTTTTTCATTATTAACATTTTTGCATAAGTTTAGTTGCAAGATTAGTATAGGCCTAACTTCAATTAGGTATACTTAATTGCGAAGTAATAGGCTATGGCTGCACTTTACTTTAGGTCCTACACTCATTTGAATGAAAATATCGGTCATTCGATATATCGTTTGGTTAGTTAAGTTAGGTTAATCTTACCTAACTAACCAAATGATATATTAAATGAAACAATCGATATATCGATCGATATTTTAATTTAAATGAGTGTAGGACCTAAAGTAAAGTGCAGCCGAATTATATTCAGTGGCTGCACTTTACTTGACGCCCTACACTCATTCGATTGTTTTTTTTTATTCAATATTTTCATTCAATTGTTTCATTCGATATATCGTTTGGTTAGTTAGGTTAGGTAGGTTAACCTTACCTAACTAACCAAACGATATATCAAATGAAGCAATCGATATATCGATCGATATTTTCATTCGAATGAGTGTAGGACGTCAAGTAAAGTGCAGCCTATTCAGACAATATTCATCCTTTCAAATCTTGTTAGGCCTACCTTTTTAGGCCTATGTGCCGGACTATTCAAGTGCTGTAGAAAAATTCTTGGTCAGAGAAGATATTGTAAACAGACTAAGGTTATTGTTCATCAAGGGTTTTCTCTAAAAAAGGTAGTATAAATGTGGGGTCTACTAAAAAGGGATGAGAAGTCTATTTGTGTTGGTTAGTCCTTGGTAGAATGGAGTGTGATGACCTTTGTAGCTTTGTTATTGACTACGATCAGTTGTTTCATTGGTCAGAAATGAAGATTTTATTTAAAGCCCAAAAATCAGGAACAGCTGAGTCCATTTACAAACCATCAAACAGCTATAATGACTTTTCTCAGGATTGATCCGACAACCTTTTATTTAGGCGTGCACTAACCACTCAACTAAGTTACCCAACCAGCATCTGCCTTGTAACATTAATTTCTGCTTTTCATAAGTATTACCCACGATTACTAGAAAAATACCGGTACACAATCCCCACACAAACACAAAAACCACAAAAACACAAAAACAAATGACATTTTTGGCTCGAAAATAAACATTATTTAACATTGATTAAATGGAACTGCCAAAACATATGTTCAATGCTATTAGCATGGGATTCGGGCCATCAACGTCATTTGTTTATGTTTATGATCCATACCGGTATTTTTCTAGTATTCGTGGTATTACCATACCACCAAACTGGACATTGTGTAGGGCCTACTGCTATTTGAACCAATACCACAGTTATTGATCATTGTTCTAGATGTTTGATGGTTACTAAAAAATCAGAATGCGTATATATATACTTAGGCCCTAAGCCTTGTCTCTCAATAACAAAGTTATATCTCCCTGCTTCCTTCTTCCTATAGTGGTATTCTTCTATCTTCCTTAATAATTTACATTATTCAATTGTTCTCTGTTTGTAGAAAGACAAGGATTCAGAATTGTCTTACCGTTGGCGGCACTGTAGCATAACCCAACAGCCTTTGCAAAAGCCCATTGTAGCATGCGGTCTTGGCCGTCTCTACAGTAAAATATCTGTTATCGAGGGACTCCTAGATCGCTCCAGTTTGCCAGAAACTGCAAGACACATCAGAAACCTTAAGGTAAATGTTTGAAGGATAGTCTAAGCTTTCCGTATCATATTTTGTTCTTGAGGGCAAAATAGAAAATATCTGTGTTGTGAGAAAGAAAGTTGAACTGCACTCATTGATTTAGTGCCTTACATTAACAACTTGCATATTGTAGGCCTACCTACCTATTAAAATTGAAGAAAGTCAAGGGAAAAATACTTTTAACAGTATTTATCTTAACTTAGCCTATAACATTCAACACTACCAAGTCTTTTATTAGAGAATTTATTTACAGTTTACAATTAGGCCTACATCATAGTTCACTGTTTTAAAAACTCTTACATAAATAATAATTTTGAGGTAGGCCTACACAACACCCTGTTCTAAAAAAGTTGAACCAAATCCTTGATCATTGAGATACTGTAGGCTAACATTCAGATTAAACTCTCCATTGTTGAACTGTGGTTGCTTACAGGGTTACACGTAAACTTACATTTTTTGGTAGAAAGCTGGTCTAGTGGAAGAACCTAGGGCTTCTGTTCTGGGGTTGAATCCCACCAATCACCAATGGTTGATATTGCGACTCTCTAGGACTGTGTGATATTGCGACTCTCTAGGACTGTGTGATATTGCGACTCTCTAGGCCTAGTAATGTGTAAACTGTTCTGGACTAGAGCCTAAAATACTAGTCCTTAAAGAAAGGACATAAAAATGGTAAATATTCAACAAAATGTTTTTTGACTGGCATTTTTCTATGATGTTACAGGATGTGAAAGAGTTGATCCTAACACCTAACCCAGCCTTCAAGGAGGGTGCTGAGAAAGGGGACGGTTATGTCGACAGACAGTGTGCTCCTCACATCTGCCCTGTCATCGGTATTGAGATGAACGGGAAGTTCAAGTTCTCCTTCATCTGGTCCTGCGGCTGTGTCATGTCTGAACGAGCGTTGAAGGAAATCAAGACCAAAGTCTGCCACAAGGTGTGTAATAACAGATAAAACAAAATGGAGTTTTATTTAACACTAATACCGAAACCCACCTAGGCTGACATTAACCGAAACCCCCGGTCTGTGAGACCCCATTTGAAAAATAATGGACCCCGCTTAGAAACACACAAACCGAAACCCTCGGTCTGTGAGACCCCCCTTTAAAATACACTAACGCTGGGCTTCTGAGACGGACATGTTATGAACTGACGACCTGTCAAGGTCACGGCACCCATGCAAAATGAACAAATGATATATCAATAGGTAGGGGAGGAAAAGGGGGGAAGGTATTGGGGAAATGGAATCTACCAAGTAAACAGTGTTGCCAACATGCGTTTTTGAAAATTCCCGTGGGCCTGTCAGACCGGGGTTTCGGTATTAGTGTTAATCAGTGGCAGTAATAGACAGTGCTGGCCAGCCTGTACAGTTTTAATCTGTTTTTTCAATGTTAATTCCATTTTAACTGTTTCATCAACATTAGGCCTACAAGTTGCAATTATTGTGATTGTGACAATTTTTTTAAAGGGTCTATTGACATAGCCTACCACAATGGAATAATACATTGATTATGTGGTCGCATACAAAATGACCTTTGATGAAGTTGTAAGGAATGAAACTAGTCGTCGTACCAACAACTGTGGTTGGATAGGGTACCTACCAGTAATCATTTTATTTTTTTGTCAATAATATATTCTAACCTAAGGCTAGGGTGACAATGAATAATACCTGATGATTGTGCAATTATAAGTACACAATGTCGCAAGATGTTTTAAGATTTTTCCGTGATCCCGGGAGGTTTTTTCCCCACCAATAATGTTTGGCAAATCCACACACTCTGAGCTTCATATGCCTATATTTTTATTTGGGTAGTAGTGGCCTCTAACGATTGCCACAAATCAGACTATGACTTAAATAGGATAATAGATTCACTCACATCAGTAGAGTTGGTAAGTATTTGGCAATAACAAGAACAAATAATAAGTTATTATAGAGTAATTTGAGGTGCTGTACCCTTTAAGCTAAATAGAGTTTATTTATAATTCTGTCATTAAACTTGACTTTTGCTTTCAGTGTCAGAAACCCTTTGGAGAAGAGGATGTTGTAGTGTTGAATCCGGAGGGTAACGATGCTGATTTGATGGCTACACGCATGGAGGCGAGACTAGCAAGAGCTAAACTAGATAAAAAATTAAAGAAAGCAGTGAAAGTAGAGCCGGTTGAGGAAACTGTTGTAAATGCTGAAACTTCAGAAACTAAATCCCCAGTTGCCGATTGTGAAATTAAACCAACCGTGGCTGTGAAAACGGAGATTTCTGATAAAGCAGCCGCTACAAGTGGAAAACTCGTATCCAAACTGCCTAAAGGTGAGTAGAAAAAATTTTAACTACATTAAAATCCCACTAATTTGGATCCAATTCATTCAGGCTTTTTGCTTAATCCAGAGAGTTATTTGAAATTTACTGTAAACTACACAATTTGCTTGCACAGCCTGCCTGCCTCTGTGCAATCGTTGTCGTCTGAGCTATTAAAGAAGCTCGGGAAAAAGCAAACTCTGCCAGTAAATGTCTATGCCATTCACAACAGTAAAACTAGCCATGTGTACTAAAAGCAATAAGATTAGTTCTTCAATGTTGGAGAGATTGGTTAACAGCGGGAAATGGAAGTCGGGACTTGCCAACAAGCTTAGTTTTACTTTCTCCCCCTATATACATAGTATGGAGAAAGCAGTTTTTTTCAAAATGTTTAGAATTGAGTTTTGGTTGGATGTATCAGTTTTGTGAACCCCCCCCCCCCCCCTGAACCCAAAATAGTGGTTTTTGACATGATGTCTGTGTATGTGTAAAGTGCTACAGAGCAACTCAGCACATCACTGTTGTTTGATTTTGATTAAATTTTATACCAAGAATATAATCTATAGCATCTTCAGGTGTATTTATCATTTTTTATCAATTTTGGTTCTTTTAGTAATTTCTCCATAAAAACCCAGATGTCAAATAACGGGAAAATTGATTTTTTCAGCAGACAACCTTAGCAGCTCAAACGATCTTGGTTAAAATTTAGTATCTTATACAGTACTTTCAACACAATAACTGTACAAACTGATGCTGCAAAAATTACAGTTCAAATTGTATGATTTTCCCAATAAAATATCACAGTTTCTCCCACCGTTTAACATAAGCGCTTATGATAAGGGGGTTTGACAAGCTAATGAGTGAAAGTGTGAGTCAGATTGCTGATACCGTCTGTTTTACTTGCCGTAGTAGCTTGTAAACTAATAAAGCCTTCACAATTCCTTTGGTTTTGTTTAAAACTGTTTCAATATTTCAAAATGCCTCTACTTAAATAAACACCTACTTTCAGCTGGTACCTCACACAAACGAGGATCGGACACAAAAATTGAAGACCCAGACTTCAAGAAAGCCAAGGGAAGTTACAGTGTTGCTAAGGACCCGAATGCAAGTGACGTTTATAAGAGTTTGTTCACATCACATCAGAAGGCCCAATCACAAACCAGGGCACACTGGATTACTTACAATCCGTTTTATAATTAGTCGCCTTAGATTCAAACTGTTTTGCACGATTGTGTGGTACAAATTGTAAATTTTTATATCTATCAAATAAAACTTTTACAAAGTATGTGATAATTTAATTGCCTACATTAGGATAATGGATGGGTAAATAATGCACGATTGAATCAAAAGAATTTTAATGTAAAGAAAATAGATAAAACATAACAAAAAACTTAAGAAGCTTATAATTAAATAATGTAATACCGTAGGTAACGTGATTCCGTTTGGAATGTATAGTAACACTAATACATAAATTAGCATAATAAATATCTAGTGCAAGAATGGCATACAATTTAGGAATAAAATTAATTAATACAATTATAGTACAATACACATCCTCTATCATACTCGATAATTACAAAGAACAAGGTTGGAGCCCAACGTAAAAAATAAATGGCATAATCTAAAACAAAAATATAAAAATGTAACAAATTACAACAAAATGTAACAAATAGTAGTTCTAATTCCAAACCAAATAATACTTGAATAGAACTAAAACGATCAACAACTATAGTTAACATAAAAGCTAGGTAACAAATCAAGGTAACCATCAAAATACTACATTGCATGAATACTATCTAATTGGGCTAAAAAAACATTATGGAAATGCTATTTTTCAGTCATTTGACAGAAAATCCTCCCTTCATAGCAAAAAACAATAGAATGTCAAAAGGGGGACTGTTCCTAGACGCTTCACATAAAAAACTTATACTGTATAACAAATGTCAACATTTGGCACTCAAATCAGTTCATATTCTAAGGAAAAGTTATTATCTTAAATAGCCTAATACATTTTTCACTACAGTACAGTAAATTTCAGTCATTACTTTGATAATTTTTGGTGCATGAGCCAATGCTGAAATGTTTGTTTGCATTCCTGTGAATTTCATCAACAAAAAAGTTAAGTAAATTCCAAAGTCTTGTCTGCCACTCATAATATTTGAGACCTTTGTAAAATGTTTAGTGTCAAAACTATTTTGTTAGAGAAATATTATTATGATAGTGCTAATTTAACAATCGAGTCAGTACACCATAATCTTGATAATTCCATTGAGTAAACTGGATGAATTTACCTGTTTTATCACTGCTTCAACCTGACAGATTTCATGTGGCATGTCTTTTCCTTAAATGCAAGTTTAACAGACACACTTTTCCCTAAGACTCTTGGTCTAATCAATAAAGATAGAAGATTACTTTATCTTTTAAAGGCGTAACAAGTCTTTGGTTTTCGTGACAATGCAAACATTACCTAGTAGAAAAACTCTTCTGTAGAAGCCGTCGTTGCTGCAATCAACAAATTGAAGTCCAGCTCTGCTAAATTAGCTGTGAACAAATAACTACATGATAACAAATAAAGTTACTAGATATTTCAAGTGGGATAGTGTTAATAATTCAGTTAAAAGATTACCTGACATTTCCAAGACAATTTCATTTTTCTGACATTCTTAAACAATGCAAAGAATGTAAATAAAGTAAAGCTCAACTTAACACAGCAGACGAAAAAAGAGCATAAAGGTGTGTGGTTGGTAGAGTCAAAGGAGCGTCGTTGGATTTAAAATTCTTCCAGGATAAAAATAAAACAATATAATAGAGTTAGATTTTCTTAATAAAGGGATCTGGGGTAGAATAGGATTAATTTTGTTTTTGATAAGAAGAGCAGGCTTGCCTGTGGCGGGTGATTTTTTTTAGTAAGAAACACATTTATGTAAACACACAAAATGAAATATTTCATGGTCACTGAACACTTTGTCAATCACAAAGAAAGGAAGTTTGTAATGGTGGTGAAAGATGCAGCAGTACCAATCTTCCAGGTTGGCAACACAAAAAAAAAAAACACTGCAAAAGTTTTTATTCATGAGATTAGGAATAGCTAAATCATTGGTTAAGTACTTAAGCCAGCTCAACCAATGTGTTGGGAGGAATTATGTTAAGTCTGCTTTTCCTATCAAAAACAAAATTAAACCAACACAATGTTGTGATTTTTTACCTTTAGCAGTCAGAAGATCAAAGAATGTGTCGAGAGGAGAGAGTCTGTCTTCTGATGGGAAAGCTGCCAAACCTACGACAGGAAGCAGAGTGATATTTAAAACAAAAATATATCATTATAATTTGAGATGGGAATGCTACCTATTTGTGTATTTGAACTCAAATATGAGTGTATAGAGTGTAATGCCTTGCACTCAAGTGAAATAGCAATAAATCATTTCAACTTTATGTTGTAATTGATTAGCCCAGAAATCTAAGAATTTGTATAGAGCATTTGAAAGCAGTTTGTGTGTTTACTTGTTATTTTTATTTATGAATCAACTTACTTTAACCAAGGAAACAAGTAAAATTTTGAGTAATGTCTGGAAAAGATCGTGTTGGGATATAGCTATATAAAATTGACGAATGAATTTTTTAGGAAAATATTAATTAGAATATAATTTGAATAATCTGAAATAATCCAAACTGAAAATTCAATTCTATTGAAACTAACTAATGAAACAACTAGTTACCTCTAGTGGCAACAGTATTGCTCCGTTGTCTCTGCGGATGTCGTCGAGCCTGCGCTCCCTCCACACCACTCAGTATGTTGCTGGCGTGTTGGCGAGCCCGCACCATCAGACTGGCCGGATGCTGCCATTGGTTCAGCAGCCGCTTACCTCGCGACCTTGGCAACAGCTGGATCAGACGCAGCTTCTGCTGTACTCCCTCCTTGCTGTCTTGTAGATCTGTTGCAGGCGTGATTGAGGTTTATGCAACTAGGAAATTGCTCAACATTTCCTTAAATTTTATGAGGTTAATTTTAGGAAGTAGCCAAACGACTTGGTTACCACGTTTTCAGTTGTAAATGGAAATGTGGTATGTAGTCAAGGTTACTGAAAAAGAGGTTGCCTCAGTCGCGCGTATGACGTCACCCGGACGGTACTGCTTTTAATTCACACAGCTGCCTCCTGTATTATTCTTTGTTCTAGCCTTGGTACGCAGTCCCCTTCTCCACTATCCACAGGCTAACTTGCATAGACACATGGGAGAGGAGTGTAGCATCAACAAGACCCAAATATGGATTTGGAAATGAGTTGGTTCGCTGTTGAGTCCTTCTTTACTTCTTTTTCTTTAATCTTAACCTAACTAATGCAAAATTCAATTCATGTGTCTCAATAAGCCAATTGAAACGCCCTAAGTACTTCAATATAATATAACTTAAATACCCCCAAAATTAATTTACCTTCTTCACGGTTTCTCCAAATACTGTATTATAATCAAATAAATCTGATACTACAACCAGACCGCTACTCTTGCTCTAATTATCTTTAATCAGAACTTCTCATTATTTAAACTTCCCGGGAGAAGATAATATAGTCCCCTACATTTTCAACCTTCTAATGAATGGTGGTTGTAATTTAACACATTCGCTGTTCAAAACTTTTACACAGGCGCTCGAAAATTGCGGCGAGGCCCAGGCTGAGCCCCGGGGCGCTACTGAATCAGCGATCATAATTGGCATTCAAAAATCTCAGTAAGAGCAATGGTGATTGTTCTGTATTACTTTGAAAGTGGACTTAGTTCACTGAAACACCCAAAGGTAGCAGCACTGCCTGGATCAATAACCAGTGTCATTGTAATATGGCTTGAATAGAGAAAATCCCCGAAACCAGGACAAAAGCATTGCCAGACGGGATTTTACAGGAATTTTTAGTACCAACCTACACCAAAATAAAGCTCGTATTCTAAGCAACAGCCTGGCAACAATAACAGCGTCCCCGGCCGAGTGCTGGGCTCAGACAGACGCAATATTTGGCAGGAGATCACATTACTGCTATAGCAGTAGGCCACGTGCAGTGATAGTGCCGCGCTATTGCTATAGCAGTAGGCCGCAGCGAATGTGTTAAACTAGAAAAAACACCTTTACAGTACTGTAAACTTAAAAGCAACAAAGAGTAGACACAATACTACTGGGTACTTTTAAAATCACAATACTAGAGCCTTTCCTAACAAAACTCACCATTCATAATGGCTTTCATGACGTCTATCTGCAGTTGTAGAACGCTTGACTGAACGTATTGCATGAATGTAGAAAACGATAGTGTTCTGTATCCAAGGTATGCCAGGAATGAAGGGAAGCCCTGGGGAAGTGGGAACGCCAAACCCTCCACAGCGAGGCAGTAGCGTTCCAACAAAGCGAAGAACACCCTTCTCTCATCCTCTGACATCTGGTCTCTGATGTTACAAGTACATACAATGGGTAAAGAAAAAGTCAAATGTAAACAATGCTCTATCTAATTATTTGTAGCAAAAAATTACACTTTTGAATAAGATGTAAATTCTTAATTGCAAGCTAAACAATGACAGTACAACCTAATGTTGGGTTATTAGTATTGCAAAATTCTATGAGGTAAAAAGAGGTTGTCTTTAAGAGGTAAAAAGTGTCTAGTGGTTTTGAAGACATTACTGCTATGAATTACGCGATGTAGTTAGATTTCTGTGGTTTTGACGGACATGAATTAAGTAAAGTGATTGTGTAGAAAATGTACATACAAGGATGATTGGTGCAAACTTTTGAACAATATTTATGATGTTTTACACAGTGTAAGTCGGCTAAACTTGTTTATCAGTTTTGTATGAGGTAGTGACCAAGGTTGAGGAAATTTCTATGTGGATCGCAGTGTGAGTAGAAAAGAGATTTAGAACTGATATTGGACAACGGTAAACACTGGTAGTCTCAAACAGGCTGATAAACAAGCAAAGTTTCCTCAACTTTAATCACAACTGGCTGTCTCAGAAAACTGATGCACACCGTCTGCCGGCATCGATAATATGAACTGATTTCTGCAAACTGCAAACTCTCAACTCTCTACGCCACTTGTGTGCAAGTCATCCGTCTAAAAAAACTTTCTGCATACACAAAATTCATGTGAAATTGGAGGGTTGCGTTTGTGATATCATGAAAGCAATTAATAATAGCTTGCTTGTTTTTCTGTTATGTTAACTAGTGTCTAAGGAGTATGTCGGCCTTAGTCACTAACAAGACTACAAGATCGTGCCACTCATCCTTCACTCATATTTGGGTTAAAATACGCACATAGTGGCGTCCCCATCTTAAATAATTGATTGAATTGATATAATTGATTTCAGTAAGGGTTGACTCCCTTCAGGCAGAAACCTAGTAACAGAATGTCATTCATACTTGGTGGGGCATTGATTTACCCTTACATTGTTTTGGCAGACAAAGGACTGACGATAATGTTTCAACCTAGAAAACTGAGGTCTCCACTATAAAATAAATTGGATCGTAAGGTAGGCCTTAGATTTTAACAATTGTTTTTGCTATATGATAAGACTAATCGTAGCTTGGAGTTGGGTATCGGCTAGAATAGAAGTGGAAGTAAAGAACATAGCGTTGATTTCAGATTTGAACTAGTTCGCAAGTTGTTTGATGGAATTCTTAATTTACAGACAGCCCTCATAGGATACAAATAGTATGAGAAATTTTAGGTTAACAAAAAAAAAAAAAATTCATAGCAAGTTTATTAATCTTCCTTCATAGTTTTAAACTAAATACGGTTACAGATTTTGATATTGCTATATTTATCTATAGTTGTATTAACGTAAGGACTTTGTTATAAAAATTGTAGGTATTGTTTAAAATTTATTTCACAACCGAAAAAGCACTCTTCTTCATTCTCTTGACACTTACATTAGCATGAAGCCCCTATGAGTCGTAGTGTCAACACTGGCGGCCTTTGTGATAAGTTGGCACAACTGTCTTGACTGTTCCAGTTGAGCGGCCGCGTACCGTGTGGCGACTGCGTGCACTTGCATTGGACTCTCACGGCTGCGGCTTTGCTTCAAAAGATGCATGCTGACCTCACGCAGGTTCTAAAACAATTCACCTTGTGCGAGCAATATTTACAGTTCAGTCAATCTACAGTTTTTGGTTTTTCTGCTAATATTCTGGTACCCAGAAGATAAGCTTGAGATCTAAAAGTTATAGTGTCGATTAGAGATTGAAAATGAGAGAGAAGTTAAATTAAAATAAAAAATACATCAAAGGTGTTATTGGATGAGTCTTGATGATGCAAGTAGCCTAATAGAAAAAAAACTATATCATCTGACAAAGTGAGATGAAGTGTTTAATCAATTGTGGTAATATTTAAAAACACGTGGACTGATAATTTGTTTACGGTTATTGCTATTGATTTAAGATGTTACGATGGCTAGATAAAATGTTAGCATTTTCCTTGGTTATTCTTTCATAGTAAATGCTATTTTTCATTACATTATCAATTCATTTTTGTGCCGACTTCTTGATTGATTTAGTTAAGAGGGATCATTTGCAATCAAAAGAGTCCATTGTAACTTGCTATATCAAACCGCACACAAATCACTCACAACAGAAATTATATGTTCCTGTTTGCTAGCTGCAGACGGCTCAACCTCAAAGAATGGCAGCGGGTCTAGCGTAGTTTTGCTGCCTCGTCCACTCGCCAGGTCTGATATTCCGGCCACTCCGACACTGCTAACCATTCCTCCAGGTGACAGAGGGGTGCTGCATCGCGACAATGCTTCCGGCTGAAACATAACATTGATATAGGTGGAGCTGGATAGGGAGACAGGAAAGACACAGTGTATGGTTAGAGTTATCTATGACTCTAACCAATATTGAGTATAGGGATACTCTAACCACGGTTGAGTAAGTAAGCAGACAGGTTGTGGAGTAAGTAAGCTGCACCGCAAAATTTAAGTATATAAAAACTAATCCAAGTAAAATAATTTTTGAAAAGAAATAGAATTCAGCTAATTTTAAGGAGTGAAAAAGTTAATAAAAGAACACAAAACATAACACTGATATTTCGCTCTGATGTAGGACGTCTTCAGAGAGTAGATTGAAGAGCAGGTTGACTGTCAGTTAAAGTTCAAAACTGGAGTGATCTTCAGATTTGCCAACTGTGGAAAAAAAACTAGAAACTATGATACTTTTTTTTCTAAGGACGCTAGGCACGACCACGGGAATGTTTTTCACAAATTACTTCAGGCTAGAACTAGGGGTTGCGGCATTATCACTTAGATGAATCCATTGGTGATTGGCAGAATTTGAACCCGGGACCTCAAGAACCGAAGTACTGCGCTCTAACCACTAGACCAGCTCGCTCCCCAGACTCTATGATACTACACTAGATAAAATTTCAAAAAGATATCTTGAATAGGTAGTTTTTTTTAAATATAAATTTAAAACATAAAGAAAAATGGCAGATATCTTGTTAACAAAGCATATTTTTATAAAGAATGTAATTATTGTTGATTTCTATTTTTTTACCCATTAAACCTTTACCAAAATTGTATGTACTTAATTACGGGACACCCTGAATGGATATACACATTTCATATGAATTTAACATTGGATGTTTTTGGCCTTTAGACCTCAAAACAAAAAAAGTAAATCGGTTGGGGTCCTAGTCTTACCATAAGATCCAGAGTAATAGGCCATTCCATCACTAATATTTCCTAGGCTTTGTGGGAAATTCACTAATATTCCCTATATCAAATGAAATCATCTAATATTCCCAATAGGGGGAATTTTCTAAAATCAAAATATGGTTGGTTGTGACAATTTTTAACAAGTCTTTTTTAGTTACATTCATTTTAGTCTAAAAAATCAACTAATCGATGTTTGCAAAAACTTAAATACTAAAACAAAGCATACAACTGATAAGTATTCAGCAACCAAAAGTTAACATAGTGTCAAAATCTCAACTAAATTTATATACTAAACAACACAAATAAAATATGAGTTCACAGTTTCTTCACACTCAGAATATCTGAGGTTTGTACGAGGATAACAATCCTAAAAATTACTGAGTATAGCATTTTACAGTTACATAAAGATGATTAAGTTAATTGAAATTAATAATGGTATTTTAAATTTCAAACTAGTACAAATAAACAAGGGTACTAAAGAACAACGGGGTTTTAGTTCTGATAGTAACCAAATCACAATGAAACTAGTATAAATATAGGAAAGTATATCAAAGTCAAAGTTACATTGTTTATATTGAATACCTACTGTATTTATTCACTTAGGCAAATAATTTTACTTGGAAACCCAAGTAAACATCAACACAGACCAACTTCTTCTCAGTGTTACATTGGCACTCTAAGTCAATATACATACATGATAACTTTACAAACTGGAGGGTGATAATACCACTCCTACAGGGGGGGGGGGACTTCCACTTTTAAACCCACCTGAAACATGTTTAACATCGTAGCTGGGACAGTTTCTGGAGTTACAGCTTGTGAAATCGGCTAAAAATTCATATTTTCCACATTACATTGTTTAAGCATAAAACTCAAAAACTGTAAGCAAAAAAATGACAGCTGTTCAAAAATTCATTGAATTTGCAATGCTATTATACGTTACCTCCTCAGGGCGCCCGCTAGGAGACGGAAGAAAATGATTAACGGAAGCATAGGTTGATATGCACATCAAATTAAAGGTCTTTATTAGTAGAATAAGAATACAATGCCACAAATTCAAGCTCAAAAGAAAAACTGAGTAAAAAATGGCAACCGTTTACAGATTTAAAATGGCAAATTCAAGAAATCTTTGAACACCTGCTATTTTCTACTAGGTTGTCCGTTTGAGGTACGATTTGCGGCATTGTTTTTGGTTTCACAAGACCTTTAAATTTATGTACGTATCAGCCTATGCTTACCTATAAGATTTTTAACTTACTCTCTATGAGCCGTCCCCCATAGGTGACATCCAATCACCATGTACACAAAAAAGTAGCTTACTATTACTATTATGAAATGCTAAATTTGGTTGTAATATTTCTTTTCGTTTTAAAGTTATAAAGTCGTCCTATAATTATTGTCACCTTGTATAATATAAAAATATTGAATTTAAATTACTATGTGGTTAATAATTCTTTTGCCAAAGGGGTTCATAAATGAAAAGTTACAAAAATTATAAGTTGTCACATTTGTAGCTTTCCAAAATGTGGAGGTTCTCTGTTAATTTATTCCAGAAGCAGAAAATTTAACTTCTAGCCTTAAACAGTACTCACCTGATAACAGACGAGAGACACCATCAGTTTGTCTGCCACTGTGGTAGGACAGAAGCGCTGTAGATCACCGTGTGCAGCTAGGTAGTCCCATAGTCTAGTCCACATGTCTCCTCGGTATGGTACGAGACGTTGTTGCGGAGACAGCAGCATGACGGCTGGGTTCCACAGGCACTCTTGACTTAATGACAGTGTGAAATGCGGTGACAACTAAACAGATAAAATTTCAGCATAATTTTTGCCATTTTATGGATGACTTAAATGTTTTATGGATATTACCACGTTCAAGGATGAGTTCACGTTTTAATTTTGATCCCACCACTAAATTTTAATGGTGCAGTTCACTCTAGTACTGTACTAGCTCACCTCTTGTTACGTTCCACTCACAGGCCCATGGCCTAGGTGGACAAGCAAATTTTAGGTTAAAAGCTGCCAATTTCTTAAATAAAAGAAAAATGTTTTAAAATATTCAAATTCAATGCTCAACTTTTCTCACCTTAACCTCTACAGTAGAACTTGGGTTCCAAGTGGTCAATGGGAGAAGATCAATCAAAGACAAAGCATCTGAAGGCAGACTGCGGGCCACTGAAGCGTACGATCCTCCAACCAATAGCTCTTGCAGGATTTTGGCAACGTTTAAATCCATACAGTGTTCTGCCAATGGAGACAACAGCTGAAAAAGGACAATTTTACACTTAAATGTCAATTTTTCTGTATTATGACCGTGGTTCGTTTTACTGCTGATTGATCTGGCTTGCTAAATGTTATTTGAACATGAATTGAGTTTTCTACGACAAGAACCAGCTGTTTCTTTAGTTTTAGGTTATAAAGTAAACAAAACAAAACATTTACCTCAGTTCACACAACTAACTACTGCTGTCTGAGTGATGTTTTCTTTTGAATAAACCCTCTAAATAAGTTCTTTATTAGAAAAAAAATACCAGCAATGTTTTGTGACATTTTACAGTGTAGGCCTATCTATTACTGGACTGAATCGTATCATGTAAGCTTGCATCTATTCCTTTTTTTTAAATTCCTAAGATAAATGTAAGTATTAGGCCTAATTATTAGCCTAATAATTGTATGATTTTACCAGTTTTTTTTTTTTTTTTTTTTTTTTTTTTAGATACTTACAGTTTCTATTTGGTTTATACATGATCATGAACTAGAACAAAGTGTGTTGTATCCTAATCAAAAATGGTTTCAGTTTAAAATTTGCTTGAATTTTTAATTTAATCATTATCTCACCAGTATTTTTCCTGTTACATAACTCTTCAAGAAGTGAACTCCCTCAGCAAAAAGAGCAGCTTTGTTAAGTCTTTTGAAAGAATGCATATAATGGTAATAAATAATGTATGTTTTTAAAATTTATATCTATTAAGAGATCAGTAAGTAGACCGACAGAATCCTGCAAGATCGTGCAATCGTACAATTGGCCACAAGTATGAGGAGTCTACTGTATTTATTTAGAGATCAAATACTTTTCAGTAATGAGTTATGATTTGCACAGGTCTTCAAATCATGCATACTAACCTCTGACACCAAGTCCATATCGTTGAGGTGAACAATGAAGTAATGCAGTATAGCCAGCCTGTTCTCCTTGACCATGTCGGTCTGTAGGTATGCTTCCACCATCAGTTGTGGATCAACCTGTGCCACAGACTGACATTAATACCGTGTGGGTGACGTTAGACATTTTATCTCTATAGATGAGCTGTAGTCAATTTATTTCATAAAGCAACTCAGAGTATAACCAAGGATAAAACATACTCCCTTCGTAGATTTCTCATCCTTTCAGCTGAAGACAAACCCTCGCTTAGCCAAATAAAACGATCTAATCATAAAAAATAACTCGTCCCCTAGTTATATAACCAAACAGTAAAGCACAAATCATAAAGTTAACCAACAAACATAATAGAAACAAAATCCACTAGACACGAAAAACGAGCATCAGAATTTACAATGGGATGAGAAGTCTACTTGTGTTGGTTAATCTATGGTGTAACACAGTATCACGGTTGTTATAGTCATATCTGATGAACCCCACCAAAAATATAGCTTACAAAAAGCATGATACATAAACATCTTTTATGCTGTTATAAAACAAACAGCCTTTCACCTGCAGTTGCACAACATCCAAGGTCATGAGGTCGATCAGCTGATCACTGCCGTCCAACAGTGGTACCAACCGCACACTCTCAGTCACAGTGTTGTTTGCCAACACGATGTGACAACACGGCTCGTGCTCCGGTCCGATGTCCAGCAAGTGTATAAACAAGCCAGGAGAGATTACGAGCATGTGCTGGTCTGCAAACATATGGTTATAAATGTTATAAGAAAGTTTAATAGGTCTAAATGTATAAATTGTAGGGTGGACATTTATAAACGGATAAATAAAACAGATTGTGTCAGAGAATAATAATTTTGAATCTCCAAAATATTTTAGGTTGACACAACAGAACATATAAGCTTTCGTCACCAAACATAATCTTGAGAACCTCGGAATGGTTGTTTTTAGGACCCCTGGACTTGATTTTTCTCAGGTAACCTATCTCAACTCTATTCCTTTACAAAAAAAATTCCTAACTTAACATTTTTATTTTGACTCAATAGCCCCAATTAGTAGTAAATAGTACGAGAAAAAATCCAAAACGTAAAGAAGCATGACACGAGTCCTAACATTTTTAGCACTAGTATCGCTGAAACTGCCATTTGAAATACATGCCTTACGTACACTTTGTACAGACGGTGAACAAAGAATGGAGTAAGATCCAAGTCTTGTTGAGGATACTTTGATTTTTTTTCCTAGGGCACTAAGCACAAGCCCAGAATTGTTTTTCACATTACCTTAGGCTAGACCTAGGGGTTGCGGCATTATCACATAGATAAAATATATTGGTGATTTGGTGGGATTTGAACCCAGGACCTCTGGAACCGAACAGAGCACTAACCACTTGACCAGCTCGCTACCCAAATTGAGGATAATGTTGAGGAAACTTACCACCATACATTACGAAGGAAGGTCGTAAAGACGGAGCGTCAGCCCACGCCACCCCAGGCACCACACAGTGGACCACTCGGCCATGGTGCAGCATAGTGACGGAGTAGGCTAGATGTACAGTGTCTGTGGCATCCACCATCTTGTCACTCATTGGGGGCTTCACAGGCTATATTCAACAATCAAGATTAGATTTGTTTAGATGATATAGTCAATGATGATACATTCTAGTAGGCTAGGTTATGGCCCGTAGCTATTTCACACATTTCTCAGAGTCTAGTCCTAGAGGGCCACGGGATTATCTTGAGGATAAAATCCATCGGGGTGGGATTTGGACCCCTCAGGGTCAAGGCCCCATGGTCTAGAACTAGACCAGCTCGCTCTTCCATTCTAGATTAGTTGGACTTAAACCCCTGTTGACAAAGCATTACCTAATCACTGTCTACCATGGCGCATTTCATTACTATCTCTCCTAACGACTCATCTTTTGTGGACATGCTACAAGGTATGCCAATATTCTTTCAGGAGACCAAAAATCCTTACCATCTTTGGCATGACTTACTGGCCATTAAATCCTATTTAGCTTCTTTTATGTGAGGTATAACCTGCACCAGCTCACAACAAGGGAATTCTACAACACCCACAACCTTCATAAAGCCGGGTTTTCCTAGGCGCGGAAGTGGAGAGCGTAGAGAGGAACGTGGAGAGCGGACTCCACTTGTCTTAGGTAATTTAATGTTACTGTTTTCCTAGAAGAGGAGCGGAATGCCATGTTAATTTCTTTTCCGCTCTCCGCGTTCCTCTTTCTGCTCTCCGCTCCGCGCCTAGGAAAACCCAGCTTTACAGGTACCTTAAATATCACTGTAAATAGTTCTTTAGTTGTTGACACATTCCATCAGGACATTTTGGTCATCAAATTTGCGAGAGGTATTAATGTAAGGAATTAAGAATATTAAGATCTGATTATCAGAGGAGCACTATATCCACTCAGCTAATATAGACAGAGCCAAGAGACTGACTGTGCCAACTATACTAAGGGTAGGCCTATTTAGGTGGACCTCATAGTAAAAGTGCGAGCCTATCTCTACATTTAAATATTCACAATTTTGACAGACCTGGTAAAGGTAGTGATGACAAATGCAAACAACGCCGCGGTGATCAGCAACTATCGTAAGGTCCAGTGAGCAGTCGTGAACCCTCAGTGGGACTGGGTCGTCCTCGTAAACACCACACGGTAGAGACACCGAAGGTGACAATTGAGGCAGATTTAGAGGGATATTGAGCTGAAAGCGGAAAACACATTTGATGATAACAGCTAAAATAAGAAATATATGTATAGTACTTCACTACAAAGAAACAAATGTAGGCCTAACTTACTTTTCTTCACATTGAACAAAAAGTCAAAATTATCTTTATCAATTGAAATGGGACGCCACCTAAGTGTGTATTTTAACCCAAATATGAGTGAAGGATGGTTGTGGAATGGAGTGAGATGATCCGTGTAGCTTTGTTACTGACTAAGATCAGCTATTTCATTGGCTAGGATCGTTTGAGGGTAGCTTGATCGTTACACTTTGAAGGTAAATGCTGCCGTAGTTTACCACCAAAACAACACTCTGCGTGGGTTTTATTTAGTGAGTTTACAGCTTTGGCTGGGTTTGTGTGATCATCTGTTTTGACTACGGTGATAAACATTTTTCTAAGTGGTTTTTGTGATTTTCCAGCTTTGGTCGCAAACTTTCTGAAAGCGTAGTTTTTACTGGCCATGATGAATGAATCAATACAAATTGTTGCCTAAATACTAACTGTCCTTATTGTTGCCAATAATGTTAAAATTGCATAAAATTGTTCACGAAAAATGAACTTCAGACAAAAAAAAAACTGTATAATCACCACGGTCTCGTGTGGCAGTTCATGGTGAAACTGCAGTGTAGAGAGAATGGGTGTCGTCTGACTTCCCCCCTCCACCTCCCCCTCCACAGCCTGCGGTGGCTTGCGGTAGTGGATATAATAGAGGCACTGGTTGACAGCGTCCCACTGGGCCCAGGTGAACGATTTCAGTACTTGTTCTGTTGAGGTTATATCCACAATCTGCCAAAAACAAGAGAATAGATTGTATGATGGGAAAACCTTTTACAGTAGTCATCTTAGACGTATAAGAGACCAGGCCCCAAGACACTTGATTGTGGAGGTTAATCAAGGTTCGACTGTAATGTGATAATGATAATGAAACAAAATATTATTACAGTAGAATGATAATTCGGCAATCACTTGCTCTAGCTTGGAAATAATGAGTTAGTTGAGCGAATAGAACTCAAAGAAAAATAGAATTTTTGCTATAAACTATCAAGTTAAAAAGAACATTTTTAAGCATATCAATAAGGAAATTTAAAAACAGACAAAGTACATTATTTTCTTTTTGGTGGAAACCGAACTGCCTTATACTATTTAAATTGTGCTCTTGAGAAACAAAAATGCATTATAAAAAGGTTAGATAATATTATAATTGTCAGATTGATGGTAATTAGATATTAAAGCTCAAAATAACTTTAACTATAGATTTTTATACATCTGTTTGAAGAGTGGGACGTTTTTTTTGTGGCTGTATTTATTGACTTTTTCAAATTGGATTTTAACTAAGTACTGTACTTAGCTAATGTACATTCCTTGGTTTCTTGGTGTGTGTGTACCATATTGGCCTAAAAGAGAAATCAAATTAACAAGGATTAATTTAATTGTTAAATATTAATACATTTTAAGACCATTAACTTTGGACAAAGCAGGTGCCAGATTGACCAATAGGCTGATGCCTAGGGCTGCAAACAAAAGGGGCTACATCCAATTACAGTTAAGAATATGTAACCTATGAAAAATCCAATATCCTGAAATGAGAAATTATATCTTGATAATTCTTAAACACAAAACCATAACAAATCCTGAAGCGCTTAAAAATGAAGAAATTGAAGGTAAGTAAAATTATTTAGAAAGCATGAAAATCAAAAGTAAGAGCTTATTCAGTGTTAAATAACAATAATGTACAAAGAAAATGTATATAAAATCTTATAAAACTGACAAATACATCTGGAAATCTTTACTTGCCTCTTCATTTTCACCATGATCTCGCAATTCCACTTGGTAAAGTGTTACAGCTAAGAAGCGATAAGAAAATATTAGAGAAAGGATAAGACATTTAGGTTAAAGAATTAGTAGGTTTGTTGTTAAAATAAATGTAGATGTAATACTAACACACAATTTGTTTACTGGAATAACAATTTAATGTTTTAGTAAGCATTACCACAATCCAAAAGGTAAAACTCAACTGAAAAATAAATACAACTAAGGCTACGATTATACCAGGATGCTGGCATGTGGGAGGCTAGCGGGGCTCAAATCACCAAACCAAAAGAACAAGAATTTAAGAAGAAAAAGAAAGAGGAAGAGTTGAAAAATATGAAATGTATTGAAAAATATGTAGTAGTCCGAGAGGCTAGCATCCCAACACAAATCACGTCATTTTCCTCTAGAAATCCTGGATGCTACATCGTAGTATAATCGTAGCCTAAAACAACAAAGTATTTTTATCCCAAACTTGTACCATACTAGCTGTCATGAATCGGATAAATCAACATAGTTAGTAAAATATTATATTATTCACAATATTACAATGAAATGCGTAGTTAGAAGGCTAAGTCATTATTCAGACATTTCACAATAATAGTTCAATCCCGAGAGGATTTCGCACTATGTGGTCCTAACATAGAGCACATACATTTTACATATGCATTTTAGTGGGCATCCCACAAAATGGCTGCAGGAGCTCCCAAGTTGCAGAGGATTACAAAAGCCTAAATGTTGCTTTTAGTCCATAATTCGTATTCTAAGATCAAATAGTACCTAAAGTTAAGTGTCTCAAAAAATAGACCTTAAAGCTTAAAGTATATGTTAATAGAAGCCTAGGCCTGGTTAAAAAAAGTTAATACTAAATTGCCTTTAACCATGTAAATGAGCAATGTTTTTCTTTTTACATTGTTATTGCCTACTTCAGCAAAAAACCATAAAATAAATACAAATAGTTCCATTTTTAGTAAAACAAAATTTTAACTATGAGAGATAAACTTTCCAAACTTAACATTCCAACATTTAATATCTTGTAAACTAGATGTAACTTACAAGTTTGATGAATAAAAACCAATAGCTTTTCTTGTTTGCTTTGCTTCTTCTTATTCAAAAACTGAGTCATTATTTGCTGGGGTTTCTTTATTCCTAATGATTTTGTGGAAACTCTTGCCTCTTCTATACTATGAAGAAACGCCTCATACTCAAATGTCGGAGTGTCTGGGTCATCCTTGTTGGATTGGGTTGTTTTCGTAACATATGCTAAAAACACAAAACAAGTAGGCTTAAGTCTGAGTATAAATAGTTGGAAGATGTCTTGATACCTGATTGAATAGATGTTCTCAATACCTTATTGAATACATTAAATATCTGTAGCCAGGCCTTGTGCTTTACCGTCCAGCAATACGGCAGTTTGAGACATTGATTGTTTTAAATCTTTTATAGCAATCCCCATGTCATTGTGTGTCTCTATTGCTTGTCCAGTTGCACAATTTGACCGTGATCGCTATATACCTACCTACTAAATGCTTACGTTGTTTCCCCATTTCCCTAATTGCCATCCACTAACTTTTCAGTAATGCTACACCACCTAATTACAATATGACGCCGGATTAGTGAGTGTCCACTGTAGCAGTGATTGCAGTTTTCATAAAAAAATAAGATTTAAAAAATCAGAAGTAACCTATAGTTTAAATATTTACAAATATGGCAAAATTATTCGTTTTAGTTCTTTAAGAAGAGTTTTTACCATCTTAGCATTGTCCGGATTGAGAAAATGTTATAATTTGTAGGACTTTTTATAATTGTGAAAAAATAAGGCCTACTGCTTTTGTAGGTACTGTAGTCAGAAAAATTTAAATCCAAACTTAAATTGCCACATGCTATAATATGTGGTTCTATGTACATAAACAAAGTGTAACTAATTTGGTTTGGATGCCTAATTCTGGCAATCCAATTGTTGTATTCCACAACTAGTTTCGACCTGCTAGGAGGTCATCATCAGGTGTGTCCAAGAATGATTACTTCACATAGAGGTCGTCAGGATAAAAAGTTGTTGACACATACACGTACACAAACCCATAGCGCGCTAACACATGCGGCCAATAAAATAAAATTGTAAACACAAAAAGCGGACCGGTGTTGGGAAGGAAATCTGTGTGATACCTGACCAGCTGTGTGATACCTGACCAGCTGTGTATCCTACAGTCTAGACTCAAATCCGCATTACCAATGGCTCATCATATTTAAAATTTTATTTTATCGCCCATATGTGTGTGCCCACTATGTGTTTCTGTATGTGTATGTGTCAAAAACTATTAATCTAACGACCTTCATGTGAAATAATCATCCTTGAACACACCTGATGATGACCTCCAAGCAGGTCAAAACTAGTTGTGGAATACAACAATCGGATTGCCAGAATCATTTATTTAAATCCACTATTATTAGTTATTCTTCGCAATCCGGAGGCTATTCATACTACTACAATGAAACAAAGTGTGCTAAATAGATTACTTTGTTGCTTTTTAGTCTTACTGTCTTTTTAGTCTGAAGCATTTTGCAGAATAGACAATTGAAAGCAGACGGTAATTACTTAGTTTTTATTATATTTAATATATTAGTAGGCCTACCTATACATATACATTCAAAATCAGCTTACCAAGCAACGTTTTGTCTTCGTTCACACTAGCCTGAATAACACTACAGCTGCTGTTGTGGGGCAGAACGTGAAGAACCTAAACATTGGACATATAAAAATCACTTTTATTTATATAGAAAGGACCAACAATTAAAGACAATAATCATGTAGATAAATTACTAACATAATAACACTATAGGTATGTAGGGCCTACTATAAGAGAAAGTTGTAAATTTTTCAACTGCACGTTGTTTGCAACACATGGTCGAATATGAAATATTTTAAAGCTTTTTATTTGAAAATGGATTTTTGAACTGAACTGAACTGTCTTAAGACACCCAGCACAATAAGTTAAGCGGCTTGTAGACGGGGACTGTAAAATTATTTATCAAAATTGCAATGATCAAGAACTAGAGCTAGTTTTAAACCATGAATAAGCTTTTCTAAACTTTTCTCAGGGTCAAATTGGCAACCTTCATATTGCAAAGTCAGATGTTATAAGGGAATGAGGAATTTCTTTCAATTAGTTTTTATCAACAATTTGTACAAACAAATATTCTAACTCAGTAACTCACTTCAATATTTTTGTTCAATCTGTCATAAGCCTCAATGAACTGAAGACTATTTGAGTCCTCAACTCCAACCCATGTAAATAGCTGGACACTATTTTCTTCTAGACCAATGACTCGCAAATCATTAACACGTCGATCTGAAATATAAAAACATAGGATAAATTTGTAATGTGCTTTTAGGCCAAGAAATAAAATTTAAAGTTTTATCCTATTCTAAGTTAAAACCATCGTAAAAAAATATAAAAAGAACCAAGCTGAATCTAAAGTAAAATCACCTTAGTTTCAAAATTAAGCATCTATACTTAATACTTAAATACTTTCTTATTAAATGGCGACCATCTCAGGCTCTACAGCAACCAATTTTCATCTACTAGATAGAAAGTTTAACCTAAGGCCCATTAACTGCGACTTTGCATATAAAATGTTATCATTGCCATTTAAATTGACGTTTGAACTATCAACTATCAATTAAGCTTTTAAGACGGATGTTTTAAAGATTGCAGATCTTTCAAATATTGTTAGCTTGATTCAGCCACATATTTTAAAAGCACTCTAACAAGACACTATAAAATACTGTAGGCCTACATTACAAGTATCCACATGTAGTGCAGGAGGCGCCGCTCAATGTACCTACTTAAAAGCAACTGTCAGTAAGTTAGAGCCTTCTTTAAACTACAAATATATAACTTATACAAATTATTTTTTAATTTTATATTTATAAAATTAGGCCTATTTCAAAATTAGAAAAAAATATTTTTTCATACCACCCCACCCCCCCACTTTGTCAACAAGGGCGCTGACCCTGACACTAGAAAAACCGGCCATGCTGCAGCGCAACACTACGTCACAGCGGTGGATAGTTGTACTAACATCTTACCATTAAAATCTGACAAACAGCCAGCTTGTTTACCTAAAACATATGGGACAAGGCAGTGAATCTATCCACTAGTGTGACGTCATGGATCCTGCGGCATGGCCTGTTTTTCTAGTGGGGCCTTGATGCAACCCTCACCGATCACGCAAAAAAACTAATTTTTTGAGGTACTTCCGCCTGACCAAAAATTTAACAATTTAGAACTTCAAAACTAACGAATATATTATCTATTCGTTAGCTAGAATCTAACTGAGTAAAAGTTAGCCTATTCCCAGTGATTCTTATATAGTAACGGATATGATCAAAGTTAGCCAAAAAAAACTAACAAATATCACTATTCGTTAGAATTTCTATTTGTTATTCCCAATTATGGCTATAGCCTAAAATAAGTCTATTGAAAAGGCTAAGTAGGCTATCCTAACATTTTCAAATTTACTAGTAGGCCTAAGTTAGGTAGATCATTTTAATGGTCATGTTATTAGCATGGTTCGGTAAGCCTAATTGACTTTAATAAAAATATGGGTACAATTTCTTAACTGGGCTAAGCTAATATCAAGTCATTCGATTTTTTTCATTGTCAGCAAGTTTGGTTAGGTTAAATGACAGTTTAATTTTATAATTGGTATAGCCTAGTTAAAATATTGATTATTAATCGATATTTTCAATCGGCATTAGCGTAGCCCAGTTAAAAAACTGTACCCAAAAATACATACTTACCGTTCTTAAGAGGAAGAATCTCATCTCTTAAATTGGATTGTACAGATATAGTAGCCATTATAATAACACTATTTAACCTCAGTTTTCAGTATTTTTTTATGAGGATAAAGGCCTACATTCTAATTAAGCTGATGAAACATTAAACACCAAAAGTTATAAGACATCTAACAGCAACAACTAACGAGTAGAATTTATATCTTTTATAAAATTATTCTATTGGGTTTCTTAACACACACACACACAACAAACAACGGACCAGCCTCTTTTGTTGATGTTTGTTTATGTTTACTTTCTTGTTTCAGTCAGTTTGCCTTTGGTTTGTTTTGTTGAGTTTTTGACATCGACAATGACAGTTCAGCCAAACAGCTGACGAGTGATAGCATAGACTAAGCAACACAAGGGAGTATGTTTTATCTATGGTGATAGTCATCTTGGCTACTACGACCAAATGCCTCTAAACATAAAAGACATAAGACATAAGACGTTTATTGATCTTTAGGCAAAATTACATGCAATAGATCTTGTCATGGATGCTTGAAATGCACAAGACAGTCATAAGTACAATAGTAAAACATGCTGACTAAAGCAAACATAAAAATAAGTGTACATTCTCAAAATTAAATAAGATTGGCTATTTTGGGGGGAAAAAAAACTAAAAAACATCATGCAAAATTGATGGAGCTAAAATCTGCTTCAAAGTATTCTTTAAGGCTGTAGAAGGGCCTTACTATCAACCATGCATATATCACATTCTTAAAACTACCTAAGCTAACATGCTGAGCTGAAAAAGGCAAGCAATTGAAAAGGTCAATACCTGTAGCTTCGAAGGACGTGAGAACCTTGGTCAGTCTTGTGTAGGGTCTGCATATTTTGTTTTGACCTCGTGTACCATGGTTGTGTACGTGCCTGTGGAGAATGAGAGTGTTTAGGTGCTTTTTGGTATGTAAGAGACATGCAAAAATGTACAAGTTGATTACAGTTTGAATTTTTTCCTGTAAAAAAATAGGTTTGCAGTGTGTATTTGTGTCAGAGTTAGTGATGATTCTCAACATCTTCTTCTGGGCTACTAACACACTACTTATGGAGCTAGAATTTCCCCAAAACATCAAACCATAGACAATTCTACTTTGAAAAAGAGAGAAATAAACCATTCTTAAGCAATCAGGGGATATGCAGACTTTTAACTTTCTAACTAAACATATTATTCGGTGTAGAGATAAAAACGCCCTCGACTATCATGAAGCTTTAGAATTATATCAATATAATACAAGCTCATTAATTCACGTATTATTTATTTATAAACATAAACTTATCAAAAGATTGAAAATAAAACATATAGAGTAAAAATACCAAAACAACATAAAAAATCTATTTCAAAAATCAATATCAGAAAATCTATTTCTGTACCTTTAGAGTGGAGTAACCATTATATATCCCCTACATTAGCCTTATACCGTATTCCCAAAAATACACAAACAATTTATGTCTTCAAATAAACAGCTGTTACAACAAACTACTTGCGACGTTGGGTAGCTTAGTGGTTATAGTGCTCGGCTCGCCTAGTAATCAAAAGGTCGCCGGTTCGATCCTGAGAAAAGTCAGTAGCTTTTTGATGGTTCGAAACTGGACCTAGCTGTTTCTGACCATTGGGCTTTAAATAAATGATCCTGGCTTATGAAACCGCTGATCTTAGTCAGTAACAAAGCTACACAGGTCATCACACACCATTCTACACTAATCCTTCACTCATATTTGGGTTCAAATACGCACTTAGGTGGCGTCCCCATCTCAATGATTGATAATTAATTGATACTTGCGGGCCTTCGAAGGCCATGGCACGGCCACCTTTACCTACAGGCCGCGGCATGGTAGAATTGGCAAATTCACAAGTGGTGTTGTTTAGTGACAGACGTCGCATAAGATAACAAGGCAGACAGGTGACATGAGCTCATTAATTCGCACTTTATTGATCTAAATTTAAATTTATGAACATAAATGTATTAAAATATTGAAAATAAAACATACAGAATTAAAAACCAAAACAATATGAATTACAAATCTATATCTGTACATTTTAAGCGGAGTCAATATTGTCATAAGTCCAGTAACCAATATTTCGTAATAATACACAAATACCATTAGCTGCTTCCAAACAAAATAGCTGTTACAACACCACTTATGACGTTGCCACTTCAAAGGCCACAGCCTGAAGTTAAAGGCGGCCGTGGCCGTGGCCTGGAGTTAAAAAGGTGGCCGTGTTTGGTGAACATTGAAGCGATATCAAACTGGTTAAGGCTGTACAGTACAGCTTCATAGTACTTAAATTAGCTTGGACTCAAGTCACTCAAACTTGGCTGAAGCTGGCTGACGACCATCTGACGACTGACGAGTCCGATCCGAGCACTCAAGACGAAAAATATTGAATTTCGTAAACAAAACAAAAGCAAAAATTAAAATGTTATGAATTGGAATCGAATTTAACTTAATTAATTATTAGTTATTGAAGTTGGTGTTTGTGACATTACTTTCATAGGTTGGTATATTCATGTTTATCTAATGTGTTTATAGGATTCCACATAGAAATACATTGTCTAATTTATTATAAGTTAAGTGTGCATCACTGCAATTGATTTTGTCACTAGGCCCTAGATTAAGTTAACATTTCTTTTAGGCCTACCAGACTAGCAAGTAGCCTACTGTACATGTAGTACGGCATTTATCATAAACCCTACTCATTTATCATAAACTTGATTACTTAAACAAACCTTATTCATCCCTCTCTGATTTCTAATACAGGCTAGTTTTCTGATTTCTTAAAATCTGCAGATGAAAAACTTGCCTGAGTGCAAAACCAAATAGCATATTTTCTGTTGTAGCCTAGGTTGTAAAAATAAACTTACTGCTACATACATACATACATACTTAATAACCAATCTTAATACTAGTTTTTGTCTCCGTTAAGTTAACTGTCTATGTCATGAAAACTTAACTCCACTAGATATTTTTTCAATTCTAATTTGAATTTTGTTAAGCTCTGAATTTAAAGTAATATTTTCGGTAGGGCCTGGTACAATTTCATTCCCATGTAATCTGGTTTGTGTTAAAAATTTTTGAGTTTATGTTGGATTGCATGTTTGCCCTTTGTTCGGGTGTTGTAAGTGTGATTTGTAAAAGTTGGTTTAATGTTCTGTGATTTTATATAGAAAACTGATTCAAAGATAAAAAGTGAAGGGACTGTGAGAAAGCCAAGTTCTTTAAAAACATTTTTGCAGCTGGTCCGAGGCGGCATGCCCAAGATTGCTCTTACTGCCATGTTCTGCCAAACAAAGATCTGCTCAAAATTCTTCTTCACAGCTTCCCATAGTATGATTGAATACAAAATGTGTTGTTCTATTAGGCCAAAATATACACAAGTTTAGAGAGAGCCAGGTTTCCGAATGTCCTTATTCTTCGAAGTACAAAGACACCTCGAGCCAATGACCCCTCCAGTTTTTTTTTATTTGTGCATCCCAGCTCAATTTATCATCCAATCTCACTCCCAAAAAGTCGGCAGTTTTTGAAATTTGGATTTGATCCTCTCCAATTAATAGGTTCGGAGTCCTATTATTTTTTAAATTTTGTCTTTTAGCGAATTTCCCATATAGGGAATATTAGCGAATTTCCCATATAGGGAATAAGCTATTACCGTAGGTCTCATGGTAAGACCTAGACCCGGGACCGATTTACTTTTTCATTTTGAGGGCCCCATAGGCCAAAAACACCATCAAATTCATATATCTAATATATAAAATTCTCGTGTCACAGTGTTTGTCTGCAAACTCCTCCGGAACGACTTCACCGTTCGTTATGAAATTTGGTGTGTAAATTCTGTAGGTATGCGAATCGGACGTAAACTATTTCCCGTTTCGAAATTCTTAAAAGGGCTCCGCCCCAGTGGCTCTGGAGTTTCCCATGTTAACCTTATGAGAAATGGAATTAATGAATCTTAACAGCTGTTTCAATTAAACAAGTTGGTTCTGTTCTATGATGTTCAATAGCATTAAAGTTACAAGGATTACCAACAGGGTGCAGCACTATTATTTCTTTTACATTTATGACAACAGCTAATTTGCAACCAAAAGGTGAGTGAGCGTAGCGAACGAACTTCAACCTGGAGGCGAGTTAGCGTAGCGAACGAGCTAACCTGAAGGCAAGTGAGCGCAGCGAACGAGCACCAACCTAAAGGTGAGTGAGCGTAGCGAACGAGCTCCAACCCAAAGGTGAGTGAGCGTAGCGAACGAACTTCAACCTGGAGGCGAGTTAGCGTAGCGAACGAGCTAACCTGAAGGCAAGTGAGCGCAGCGAACGAGCTCCAACCTAAAGGTGAGTGAGCGTAGCGAACGAGCTCCAACCCAAAGGTGAGTGAGCGTAGCGAACGAACTTCAACCAGGACGTGATTGAGCGATGCGAACGAGATCATCTTGAAAATTAAACGTAACGGTACTTTCTTTCCATCGGTCTGTCTTAGGGGAAACCTATAACTTAGGCGATACGAAGTTCGCCGGGTCAGCTAGTATATATCTAATATATAAAATTCTCGTGTCACAGTGTTTGTCTGCAAACTCCTCCGGAACGACTTCACCGATCGTTATGAAATTTGGTGTGTAAATTCGGTAGGTATGCGAATCGGACGTAAACTATTTCCCGTTTCGAAATTCTTAAAAGGGCTCCGCCCCAGTGGCTCTAGAGTTTCCCATGTTAACCTTATGAGAAATGGAATTAATGAATCTTAACAGCTGTTTCAATTAAACAAGTTTGTTCTGTTCTATGATGTTCAATAGCATTAAAGTTACAAGGATTACCAACAGGGTGCAGCACTATTATTTCTTTTACATTTATGACAACAGCTAATTTGCAACCAAAAGGTGAGTGAGCGTAGCGAACGAACTTCAACCTGGAGGCGAGTTAGCGTAGCAAACGAGCTAACCTGAAGGCAAGTGAGCGCAGCGAACGAGCTCCAACCTAAAGGTGAGTGAGCGTAGCGAACGAGCTCCAACCCAAAGGTGAGTGAGCGTAGCGAACGAACTTCAACCTGGAGGCGAGTTAGCGTAGCGAACGAGCTAACCTGAAGGCAAGTGAGCGCAGCGAACGAGCTCCAACCCAAAGGTGAGTGAGCGTAGCGAACGAACTTCAACCAGGACGTGATTGAGCGATGCGAACGAGATCATCTTGAAAATTAAACGTAACGGTACTTTCTTTCCATCGGTCTGTCTTAGGGGAAACCTATAACTTAGGCGATACGAAGTTCGCCGGGTCAGCTAGTATATATATATATTTAAATATGTGTCCGTTAGCGCGATAACTCGAGCAAAAATGATCCAATTTTGATGAAATTTGGTACAAACGTGTAAACCTACGTCTATTCGAACGAGTTCGCGAACCAGCATAATCGGACTATGGCAACAGGGGTTTATGGGGGGTTTTATGGGGTAAAAATTGATTTTTCCCATTTTCGACACTTAAAACTTTCTAAACTTCTCTCGAGACCATTTTGAAGAGCTTAAAAAAACAAATAATTTAGTATACTTGAAGTGTTTTTGAATGTTCAATGACTACGGAGAAAATTAAAAAAATTGTAAATTTAAAATTCCCATGTTACCTATTCTTATGGAGAATAAATAAACTGTTGTGGTTTGCTTGTTTATTGATATATTTTAATCAAATTTGGCAATTTGGTTTATTTCATATTCAGCTATCAATATAAAAAAAAACCCCCACCTCAATATCTTCCCCGTAGCAGCAAACCTAACTACTCACTAAAATTAATGTCATTTAAATAGGAAATAAATTTGAAAATTTATAGGGAATATTTTAGTAGGAATCAAACCCGGTAAATGGAAATTCGCTTAGTATGCAGGTTTGCTGCGACGGGGGTATTTGCAGTTTGGATACACTTATCCTGTTTTTTGTGAATTAAATTTGAGTTGTTTGAAGAAAAAAAGTCAGCCAGATCATTTGCTCTTTGATTAGATCCTGCCTCCAGGGCCGCGTTGTCAGTCCCCCTTACGAACAACGTCGTATCATCCGCAAAGAGGTAGACGCTGTCCTGCAGAACAGTATCTGTTATGTTATTGATGTAGACCAAGAAAAGGAGAGGTCCAAGGACAGATCCCTGGGGGACGCCATTGGAGATCAGTTTTTTTTGTTAATGAAATTCTTTAAGTTTTTGAATTTGTGTTTTTTAAAATCTCTAGGTTAAGTTTTGGATTAGGCTATGATAGCTTAGCTATTTTTGTTTCTACTGTATATCCAATGACAGAGGATTGCTGATTTTCAACTTTAAATCTAAGTATTGATCATTTTTTAGGTACCGGTAGCCGACAAAATCGTACAGGACAAACTCAACCACAAGTTTAAATATATCACAAAGTCTCTGGAAAAGACATTCACAATGAAGAGAAAGGAAATTGCAACCGAGGAAAGCTCTACAAGTAACCTAAAGATTACTTTCAAAGATCAATCAGGTAAATTAATTGTAGAATACTTAAGCTTTGTTTTAATACACACCCATTGTTATTTAGGCCTACTCTTAGGGTCTTTTTACATTTAACTATTGAAGCCCTGGTATATCAGCCATCAAGAGTTAAGATTTCAACAGTTTTGCAATTTTGCATTGCTATGTTTAAATTAATTATTTAATTAACCACTTTAGTTTTCATTTAATTACTTCAAGACACATTATACTACTTGTCAATGAGTAACCAGCAGTTTATAAATTAGTGGCGTCTGTAGGCTACATTGGTGCCCCCCTGCAGTACATACAGATGACGCCTCCCCCCTTACCATATCTGTTTTATTCGTTATATCTCACTGTAATATTCTGGAAGAACGGCATAAGTTATTTCAGGATTTAAAATTTAAAATAACGCTCTTCTTTCTTCTGTTGCAAAAAGTTTGTTGCTAGCTTGCCTAAGTCAATCCCCCTCTCTTTCAATATTAGGGCTAGAGAGCTCAGTCTTGACTTTTTCATTGCTTTTCTAAAATATGTTTAAATGAGTTTGAGATTGGAGAAGGATCTGTAGGCTAAGAAAACAGGATCAATAAGACCCTTTAAAATACATGTGTAATAAGTTGAAAACATTATCATTGTTTCCCGCGGTCACGGAAACGTCATCTTTTCCCGTGGTTGAGGTAAAATGTTGAATATCTCCTTCGGTCTTGAAGACATCATCATCGCTAACTGCAGTCACACAAACAACGTCATCCTTTCCCGCGATCGTGGTGAGTGTTGACAGTCTGACCTCAGCGCATGTCACTTTTAGACTTGACTCTTATTATTACACAGTTATATTAAAAATTACTTCTAAATCTCCTATAATATGCAGCAAATTTGCTACTTTAAGCCCTACATATTAACTTATTATATGTAGGTATTTTTCTTCATAACGTATAAAAAGTGAGTTTTTAATGAAATGTTTCAGATATTGGTGTAATATCGTTGCATGTATTTGGTACTGAATCACCAAAAACAATTCTGGCGGTCGACCCGCTCTCAAATGAAACAACTGATCGATCTATGTAAGTTACCACCTATATAATTTTTATTCAGTATAATTTACCTTTTTTCGGTAGCCGAATGTGTTCCCCAACAGTTGAGTTCTGCAGTACGCGTTTCGTGTCAATTACGACACATCTTCAGCTGCGTAGTACAGGTTAAAACAGCTCACATTGAGATTGCTTGTCACATATTAAAATAATTGACACCTTAGGCTACCAAAAAAGGTAAATTATACTGAGTTATTGACAGTTGTCTAGGCTAACAAAAATATGGTTTTTATTGTTCTCAAATCAATGCCGGTACATTTAGATAAATTTGATACTAATGACCTGTCTTGTAACATGATCATATAAAATCATTACTAACTGAAAATAACTAATTTCTTTCTGCTACTCTTGGTTGGCTTTTATATTTTTAGTTGATTTTCTAAAAGTAAAAAAAAGTATCAACCCATTGTTGTTTAAATACTTTTTGTTTTCATATTAAATTAATATTTTAGGTTAAGCAACACCATAAGTCCATTTTGAACCAAAATAAAAGCCAAAAAGGAAAAATCTTTGTCCTCTCCTACTAATGTAAAAAGAAGCAAAATCGGTGTTGTGTGAAATCGTTTTTCAACTCCCTAATGTTTTCAACTTCCACCCAAACCGGACACCGTACTTATTTAAGGTTGGCCCTCCACTCCAACTAAGCTACTACTACTTATTAAGTTCAACATGAATTGCACATGTATAAGATTTAGAATGAAGAGAGCATAAAAAGACCTCAAAGCTACACTTGTTTGTGTAACTCCTTAGCCAACTGAACTACTATGTCATCATTGACCAAATGGGTCGATTTCCGCTATAAGTACACGATGACACTTGCACTTGGGTTAGCATTTAGGTTATCACGCTGAGAAACGTGTTGATGATAGGCTACACATGTGAGTCATTGCCTACGGTTTAATATATCATTTAAAACATTTTGTGTAAGCTGCCAATATTATTTGTAAGGCAAACGCTAGTTTTATATTCTTGGGTTTGCAGTCTGGAGAACACAAGGGTATGGGTTCATAAGGTCCTGGACGGAATCGAACCTCCAATGAGAACAATCCAAGTTGACAATCGTCCTGGAAGACTAGGATTACCTCAGGTGATTAAAAAATGCATTTTTATCTACGTGAGAACTTCAATCTCCCGAATCAATCGGTACCATACCAAATTCGAGTGTTAAAAAACCAAACTCGTTGGATTTGTACTGAAATTTTTGGTAATTTTGTAGAAAATAGGCTTATTTAAGCCGAGCAATACACTGGTGATCGCAGAACACGTTTGCGATCAAAAAGATGTATGGTAATTTTACCATACGTAGACTACATCATTCGTAGATGTTAAGGATTTTGCCGTAATTACAGCTTTTGCCTGATTTTTCAACAATTCTTATTACTATAGTTTCATGTTAAAAGATTTTTTTGTACAATTCGGATTGTTGTAGTTTGGGTAATTGAGGTTCTAGTTAAGACGTTTTAATTTTACCACAATGACGTTAACTAGGCAGTACCTACTGCTGCAACCCAGCTATTTTTGTAGGTCTTTACAGTGCAGTGTAACTTGCACTTTCAAAACTGTAGTTTACTATTGGACTAACAGCTGCTTCTGGCCAACTTACATCGATGGTGCATAGTAAATAGTAAATTAAGTATTTGTGGTGAAAACCTCTTTCCAGTTTTAAAACATAAAATGGAGTGGTTTTCTGGTTCAAAATGATCTGTGAAACTGTTCACAGCATTGCCTACATCTCAGTCCAACTTTTAACATACTGGCAGTAAAAAAAAAAATCCTTTCGGGGTTGAAGTGATGTTTAAAATAACCCGATTTATTGACATTAATATTTTGACTATTTGCCTTCTTACAGGTTAGGTTTGACAGCACGGCACAGGTCGGCACCTTAGTCATGAGCGCTGACCGCCTCTGCGCACAGGCGCAAAGCAACTTCAGTTCAGTCAAAGCAAACGTCTGTTTCTACTCTGGTTGGTATTTTTGCTAGACTGAGTGGTAATGACCATATATTTGATCAAGTTCCCTTATAAACGTTATAGATGATTAAAAAAAAAATGATCCTCGGAGATGTATGTTTTTAAGATCTAAATAATCCTGGTCCATCAACACTACTGATATTGTGTGTTGACCAGGCAAGTGGCAGTATGAACTGCATCTGGAGAGTAAAGGTGTGATGCAGCTGGGCTGGGCAATGGCGGAGGCAGACTTTTCACCTGACACTGGAGTCGGTAAGTTGACGATTTTACACAGAATCATTCAGTACATTTCCGTAAACATGGTATAATGTAGACCAGAGAGTGCCGAGCTTGATAAGTGACCCAAGGGTTATCATAAAATAAGGGACAACGATGAAGACAGAGAAATATTGTACATCTACTTAATACAATAAGAGTTTGCCTATAACATCCCTTTTCCAGCCATACTTAACCAAGTTTTACAATTGAGGTGTAATTTTAAAGCTTATGATCAAGCAAAGGTACGGATGGTAACAAAAAAAAAATGATTTCCTTAAGGGCTTTGCCCCGTCACAATTAATTTAATTCTAGAGTTAATTTTCAAAGATCCAATGATGCAAACTAACTTTCTTTATAACTTTAAATTTGAAATGTAATTTGACAGCTGTTCCTTCAGTTGAATGTTTAACCACTGACTGTCAGATTGAAAAAAAGAGATTAAACAGTTTATGAACATTTTTCCACAATGTGACCTGAGGTAGGTAAACCACTCATTCTGTAGTTTGAAAAATCAACCAATTTATTGTAAGTTAGTACAGTAGACTCCCTCTTATCCGCACTCCTTGGGGACCGAGGCCAGTTCGGATAACGGGTTTTCTGGTTAAACCGACGTCCACAAAAACTCGTTAAAACGGACCGTTTAAATTAAAAGACGACGATGACATTCCCGTGAACTTGGGAGACGACGATGACGTTTTCGTGACCGGGGAGACGACGATGACGTTTCCGTGACCGCGGGAGTCGACGATAACGTTTCTGTGAATGCGAGAAACGACGATGTCCAAAAATATTGCTTGACGATGATGACCGCGGGAAATTATTTGAATTAAGCTACGATCGAGGAAGATGATGATAACTTTACTGTGATCGCGGGAGACGATTATAATGTTTCCGTTACCGCTGAACAATATTAGGATTTTTTAACGACAACGGAGGGTAGTGGTGATGTTTCTGTTACTGAGTGAGATATTCAGTTATTTTTCAGTTATCGCAGAAAATGATGATGGTGTCTCTACTAGATGATTACAATTAGGCCACTTGGAAAACAACCCATAACTCACAATAATTACATACTACATAAAAGTACATAAAGCCAGGGGTTGGTGTAGTAATCCTTCAGAAAATTGGTAAAATTAAAATTATCAGTATTAAGAATCTATTTTTCAGGCGTCTGTATAGAGATTCGATAAATTTTGGTATCAACATATCACTATTTTTAGGAAGTTATTAATAAATTGCAGGTTTAAGGATTAGTTTTTAATTTTTGGATTATTTAATCAGTAGGCTAATATATAAAAATTGAATACTTGTGTCAGGCAATAATACAGCAATCATAATTTTCTTTCCTTAACTGAGAATGGTCTTTTCGATAACTAAAATAGCGTGCTGTGTTAGCGCTAAAACAGCATTGTGGGAGTTGGCACAAAACACTTTGGAAATTTTTGTATGAAAAGTACGACCTGAACTACCTGGGGTTTTTTTTTTTACTCATGAATTACTCATGAATTTTTTCTGGTTGACCTGGTGGACACCCTGATACTGTATACATATTTGACTTAAATTTAGGAGATCATTGTATTTAGACACGTGATCACTGGTCTCAAATCTTTCTCTTGAGAGTCCGGTTAAAGAGATGTCATTTCCGCCGAGTGGAAGTCCGGTTTAACCAATGTCCGGTTTAAAGGTGTCCGGATAAGAGGGAGTCTACTGTACTGTAGTTTATTCACCCAATAACTATCCTAAACAAACATAATCTTGAAAAGGTAAATTAGTGTTGTAATGTATTCCTTTGGAAACAAGTTTTGCACCCTGTTATTCTGCGCAATTTGCACACGGGTCCCCTTGCGTTCCTTTAATTTTTCATATGTATATGACCACATGATAGTTCAATTTTTAATTTTAACTCGTTAAAGAAGACACATAACGTACTACTTTCCATAGAATTATTTTGAAGATTATTTTGCTGACCGATTTGCTAGGCTACGGACTAGCGCTCCGTTTGTTGGTTATGCAAGTTTGGCTCTAAACGTCCGCAGGTAGCACTAATTCCCAATGAAATAAAAATGAAATAAATTCAATGAATGCACTGTGTAAGTCTTGACGCTACAAACCAGGTAATAACTTTAATTGTATAAGAACTAAATCTGTAAAATTTGTAATTTGCCACCATTTTGTTTCTACTAATGTTAGGAATCTGAAATGTTCACAAAGTATTTTGAAAACATACTGAATAAATTATGTAAAGTTTCAAAACTTTTGGTGCATAAATGGCCTAGTAATAAGTAAGTTATATAAGTAGTTAAGTAGTATAAGTTAAAACGTCCAAAATCCTTCTTGGGACGCTTTGTGCATTATCTGCGAGTTGTACGTAGCTAAAATGGGAACAGATTAGTTTACATCTACAACTTATCTGTTGGAACTATCGTAACCTAACCAGCTGTTCTATGCAGGTGACAGTATCCATTCGTTTGCTTACGACGGCAACAGACTACGCAAGTGGAACTTGGTTACGTCAGATTACGGAGAAGCTTGGCAGGTCGGGGACATCATTGGCTGTACCATCGACTTGGACCAAGGCGACATACACTTTTATAGGTAGAGTGATTTTATTACAGAGGGACCTGCAGATACCTAATCATTTCAATATAAATAGTTTTATATATGTTATATCACTAATCCAATTTAGTCTCTGGCGACTAGTTTCAATACAAAAGCTTCATTTTCAAGCCTCTATTTTCTAAAAAATTATTTGAACTTACTGTTTCATCATATTTTGTTGTGGTGTTTCCGGACCAATTGATTGACAAATAAATAAAAGGTTAAAATACCTGATTGTCGCCTTGTGGTCCAAATTGTTGTCCTAGTTCTTATACGGATCCGACGATGGCGCTCGCGCCGAAATGTACATAATCCACTAGGACAACAATTTGGACCACAAGGCGACAATCAGGTATTTTAACCTTTTATTTATTACTGTTTCAGTTTCCGTTTACGATGTTGTGCTTATTTTCTTTATTGAGTTATTATCAACGTCCTCAATCCTATCAAATACTATATTAAGGCTAACATTTAATTTTGAAATTTTTCATTAGAAATGTTGAAAGGAAATTTATTTGTTACTTTGTACATTTCATAGCTTTCTAGGATGATAATTAAGGAGCCATTACTGCATTTTTTGTTTAATCATGTGTAGCCTACAGTGAACTTAGAATATTGTGTTCAACTTGAGGAGGTGTTCATTAAATATTGAACCTTTACTTGAATGAGCTGTTAGTCCGTTATACATTTTTGGAGATATGCTGCTGGATAGTTTGTACACTCCTGCGTCCTCTAGGCTATTGGAATCTGTTAATTTTTTATGTACATTGATTTAAGTGCCTTTCTAATTTACCTGAGGTTTTTCAGGCCAATGTTATGTTTCTTTAGCTGTTTTAGGTATAATGCAAGTAACAGCCATATTCCATGGAAACAAGTTTTGCTCAGTGTTTGCAGTTGCTTACTGTCCTTTTGTTTATGGATGATATTGTCAATGATATTGCTTTTGTAGCCATTGTTAACGGCTATGCATTTTAATATTTTATATTCATCGTTGTAGTTAGCCTGAGACATAAGTAGGCTATTTCAAAAAGTCCATCAACAGGGCTATTGTAAGCGTCCATCTCATGTTATTGTGGATGATTAGAAGTTTAATGGTTGGTATGATCCGTGGTTTAAAAAGCGAAAGTGTGTAATCAACGTATCAAATAAAATTTAGTTTGAAAATTTTTTGATGGCAGAGAGGATGTTTTTATTTTTTAAACTGTTGAGATATATTTCAGAGAGCACAAAGACAAGCCCAAGCGAGTCTGAATTCTTGCAGGTAATATTTTATAGAGAAGGGAGTCTGAATAATTTAACTTCATAGGTATGGTTTCTTGCAAACAAGTTATATAAAGACTTGAAGTAATATATATATCTAAAGTCGGGACCACGTAAGTTTGCAGTTGGTGGCAGCGAATCACAAGACAAGGCTAGTGCGACGTTGCCACATCTTGCCACATCACCCATTGACAACACTAATTAAAATATACAAAGCAATATTTTCAAATCAGCTGGTATTATTACATTTCGCAACATCGCACCGTTCTCATTGGTTCATTCAAAACCATATGGTAAATAGGCTCCTCCCTCAACTGCAAACTTATGTGGTCCCGACTGTAAGTGCATTTTTTCCATATATGTGTCATAAGCCAAATTAAATAGACTATTACATGTAACGAGGAAGCGTATTTTCTAATCTAAGTTATCCCAATTTCAAACAAAATTAATATACAAGATGAATAAAATTCTGTAGGGAAGGTTTTTGATTATTTGAGTTTTGATCATTTAACCAACAACACAGCAGCTAGCACTAATTATATAAATTTGTTTCAGAAAAAAATCGTAGTCCTACCAATTTACTTTAGATATTAAAATCAATAACAAAAATCACTACTATTATTTAAAGTAATTAATGTATTTTAAACAAAATTAACCGTGCCAAACACATAAACAGCCAAGACAACTCATTATAATAAACCATAAACCAACACACAATTATTGTTATCTAAAACAATAAACTTTTCGATTAGATAAGACACGGTTCGTAAATTATTAATTATTGGGGAACACTTCTTAGTTTGAGTCTTAGCACTGAAAGTATGAAGCGGTTTCAAGTGATTATTGTAGGTTTTGCTTTCTTAAACATTTATTTCTCATCAGCAAGCAATTCATCAGTTACTATTTTGCCTGTATTCTCCTCCGAAGCTGATGATGTGTTTGCTGAAGAAGAGGTGGAGATGGATTTGAATAAAACTACAGGAACAGGGATGGTCCAAAAGACGACTTTGAATGGTAAGATAGACAACACGGCTACTAATGAAAGCACAATAGTTGGAGAGGTTAAAAAAATCACCACAGAAAAATCAAACAATGTAAAAGAAAATGGAACAAATGTCGAAATAAGATCTATGAATGAGAAGATGATGAGCAGCATAGATGAAGCAATTACTGCAAGAAGCATAATGGGTGAAGTAACAACTCCAAGCAACAACAAGGATAAAATAACAATTCCAAGTAACATTATAGATGGTGAAGCAACTTCAAGTAGCATCATAAATGGCGAAACAACTTCAAGTAGCATCATAGATGGTGAAACAACTTCAAGTAGCATCATAGATGGTGAAACAACTTCAAGTAACATTATAGATGGTGAAACAACTTCAAGAAGCATCATAGATGGTGAAACAACTTCAAGTAGCATCATAGATGGTGAAACAACTTCAAGGAGCATCATAGATGGCGAAACAACTTCAAGTAACATTATAGATCGTGAAACAACTTCAAGAAGCATCATAGATGGTGAAACAACTTCAAGTAGCATCATAGATGGTGAAACAATTTCAAGTAGCATCATAGATGGCGAAACAACTTCAAGAAGCATCATAGATGGTGAAACAACTTCAAGGAGCATCATAGATGGCGAAACAACTTCAAGTAGCATCATAGATGGTGAAACAAACTCAAGTAGCATCATGGTTAGTGAAACAACTCCAAAAAACATGGATAGTGAAAAAACTTCAAATAGCATGATAGATAGTGAAACAACTTCAAGGAGCATCATAGATGGCGAAACAACTTCAAGTAGCATCGTAGATGGTGAAACAAACTCAAGTAGCATCATGGTTAGTGACACAACTCCAAAAAACATGGATAGTGAAAAAACTTCAAATAGCATGATAGATAGTGAAACAACTTCAAGTAGCACCATAAATGGTGAAACAATTTCAAGTAGCATCATAGATGGTGAAAAAACTCCAAATAGCATCATAGATGTTGAAACAACTTCAAGTAGCATCATAGTTAGTGAAACAACTCCAAGCAACATAATAAATGGTGAAAAAACTCCAAATAACAACTTAAATGGTGAAACAAATCATAATTCATCAACTTTAATAGAAATGTTGAAATCGGACAATACAACTGAAAATCTAAGTGAAGAACCCCAGACTAGAAGTCACAACAGCAGTACAAATACTGAAGCAAATCATAACTCCTCTACTTTAATAGAAGGTTTGAAATCAGATGATGAAATGAAAAGTTCAAGCGAAGAACTACAACCAAGAAGTCTTAGTAACAGCATGAGTAGAGTGAACAGCGTAAAACCATCTTCTCCAGTAGATGAATTGAAAGAAGATGATGCAACTGAAAGTTCAAGTGAAGAACTAAAACCCAGGAGTCTTAGTAGCAGAATGGTTAGAGTGAACAACCCCACAACATCTTCTTCAGTGGATGAATCAAAATATGATTCAATTGAAAGTTCTAGCGAAGAACTAAAACCTAGAAGTTTTAGTAGTATTATTGGTAAAGAGAAAGGCCATGGCACACCGCCATTAATAGAAGAATCAAAATTAGATGTTAAAACTAAAGATATAAATGACAAACTATACACCAGAAGATTTGGATATAGAGATGAACCTGACCACCTACTTGAAACCCAAAAGACTGATAATGTAGATGATGACGATAATCTGTATGATAGCTACGAAAGAATTGATAGTGAAGAAATTGATGACACAAAAGAACGCTATGACGTAAACGAAAATAAAAATAAAGAACACCTTGTGTTTCAAGGGTCAAGTGGTGATAATATTGACAGGAGTTATGAGGATTATAATGTACACAGTCTAGATAAATCCTACATCCACAAAGATGATAGAGATCTCATTAGCTATAATTATGATGATCAAGATGATTCCGAATATGATGATGACTTTGGTACTTTATTTCGTAAACTTAAAGAAAATAATGAAAAATTTGGTAAAGCAGATGATAAGAGTGAAGAATATGATGAGAACTTTAGTAGTGCAGTCGATAAGAGTGGAGAATATTATGCAGACTTTGGTAGTGCAGTTGATAAAAGTGAAGAATATGATGCAGACTTTAGTAATGCAGTTGATAAGAGTGAAGAATATGATGCAGACTTTAGTAATGCAGTTGACAAGAGTGAAGAATATGATGCAGACTTTAGTAATGCAGTTGATAAGAGTGAAGAATATGATGCAGACTTTAGTAATGCAGTTGATAAGAGTGAAGAATATGATGCAGACTTTAGTAATGCAGTTGATAAGAGTGAAGAATATGATGCAGACTTTAGTAATGCAGTTGACAAGAGTGAAGAATATGATGCAGACTTTAGTAATGCAGTTGATAAGAGTGAAGAATATGATGCAGACTTTAGTAATGCAGTTGATAAGAGTGAAGAATATGATGCAGACTTTAGTAATGCAGTTGACAAGAGTGAAGAATATGATGCAGACTTTAGTAATGCAGTTGATAAGAGTGAAGAATATGATGCAGACTTTAGTAATGCAGTCGATAAGAGTGAAGAATATGATGCAGACTTTAGTAATGCAGTAGATAAGAGTGAAGAATATGATGCAGACTTTAGTAATGCAGTTGATAAGAGCAAAGAATATTATGAAAACTTGGGCAATTCAGTTGATAAGAGTGAAGAATATGATGCAGACTTTAGTAATGCAGTCGATAAGAGTGAAGAATATGATACAGACTTTAGT